CGTTCAATATAATTCAGTGTGAATACGCAAGAAATTGGTTACATGGTTACATATGGCCTCAGTGCCGCTGCCAGGTTAGTACTTTCTTCTATTCCCTTATTATAAGTTTTTTGATATCCTCTTTCTATTGCATGGATTGAAACAAAGCGTCCACATTGTGGCAGCACAAGAGTGTCAAATGAATTAGGAGCAGGCAATCCGGACAGAGCTAAGAATGCAATGGTTGTCAATCTTAAGCTCTCTGTGCTTCTTTCTTTTGCAATTATTCTGGCTCTTGTGTGTGGTCACAACATTTGGGCTGGCTTCTTCATTGACAGCAACGCGAATTACGCGGTACTGAAAGAGGACTTTGCATCAATGACACCATTGCTTGCAATTTCAATAATAGTTGATTCTGTTCAAGGTGTCTTTTCAGGTTCAAATTCCCCACTTTTTCTAATAGGGATAGTTCTATTTGATTTGAATCTTCACATTTTTCCTGCGTTTTTTCTTGGTGTCCGTTAATTTGGTTATCCGGTTTTCAGGTGTGGCTAGAGGATGTGGGTGGCAACACTTAGTTGTGTACGTAAACTTGGCAACATTTTACTTCGTTGGTATGACAATTGCTGTTTTGCTTGGATTTAAGTTCAAACTTTATGCCAAGGTGAGACAACCTTGTAGTTCTTGATTTATCTATCAGCAAGCAGAATTTAACTTGATTTATTTTGTTAAATAGTTCAATTAATTCAGTTTTCTGTTTTATTTTGGTACAGGGCTTGTGGATTGGTATAATCTGTGGTCTCTCCTGCCAAGCAAGCACGCTTTTGTTGATTACATTGCTCAAGAAATGGACTCAATCAGATTTACTTAAAAATCCAGAGCAGGAAGCACCAGTTTTGGTCTCAATTGATGTTAGCGAAAGAAATACAAACATAGACCACTTGGGAAAATCCAGTTGATGCTTATATCCAATTAATATCGTAATAATACATGGATTTGCAGAAACAAGAAACTATATTTCTCAAATAAAGTGTTCCAAATTTGCTTTCAAATTATACATGATTTTTATTTTTATTTTTAGACTCGACTGTACGAGGGGAATTAATCAAATTATACATGATTAATTAACTAGTTACTCCAAAAAAAAGACTGTCAAAAGTAGAAAGAATACAAACTGAGCTGTTGTTCAACTAGTTGCCAGCTTCTATATACAAGAACTTCACCATTCGGATGTCGTACTTCAAACTGCAGCTGATGATGAATTTTCCGATCTATGAGTCCAATTCTTGCATAATACAGTTAGCAAAAGTATGCTGCCACAAATAATTCTATCCACAACCCCTAAAACCAAGAAGGCCTCAAATAATCATCCCATTCAAATATGAGGCCAGATTCACATACAAGACCAACTGTTGTCAACCTATTGTCCCTAAAAATTACTTAGCCTACATCCATAGCCAACCTTAAGGCTAAGGGTGTATAAAAGATGTCACCGCACAGGGCTCCCGATTCGAAAAGGCCCCCAAATTTTCATTACATGTTTTAAATGCGCAAGATAATACTAATCACGGTTCCATCGTTAGTGATAATTTCATGACATTGAAGTCTTTTTGCACATAAAAGGAGAAGAGAAGCAAGCTAGCTTCGCCTACCTCCCATGTATATCTAGCAATGGTAAGAACTGGTTGCTTGCAACTGTATCGGCGGCCGGGGATAGCGCTCCGCGTTCTCTCTTACGAAATCGAAACGAGATAAATGAGTTCGAGTTGACCTTGATTGTGCTAGTGTCAATAATTTAGGTTGCCTAGTATGGCTATAAACAGGTCATGTTTCAGGTCAATCCTGGTTAACTTTTCTAATGTCATCAAGTGTTGCACATCATATATAGACAATGAACTTTGGCCTGTAACTTGTTATGTTTCCGTTGAAGGTAAGGCTGTTCTTAAATCCATACATCCATTCGTTGAAAAGAGTGAGGGACTAGAATAAATACTGAGGCGTGATACAGATAATAGAAAAATTAAAAAGTAGACAATTTCAGTCTTCGTAAAACATTGCAAGATGAGATGAAGAGTTGAAAAAATATAAGGAGAAGGTCAATAGCATCCCCTCCCCTAGAATTTAATATCTAAAATGAAAGGCTATAGTAAACTCGGGTATTAGTTTAGGGACCATGACGGGCTAAGTAATTCATGTTATTAAGAATTCCTTTATAAGGACATGAACTAAGTTCCTTCCATAATATCATTGCTCAAATTAATTGGTAACATTAAGCTCATAGGTTTTACTGTATAACACTCACCTTTATCAAACTTACACCAAAGTCGTATAACATCGAACTCATTTTAAACCACTGTGGAAGGCCTAACCCCTTAAAATTTGTTTGTGTCCCACTTTGCCCCTCGCCGTCTAAGTCTGTTAACAAATTTGTTAAACTACAAATGTGGCACAAATGGACCAACTTTTGCTTAACTGTCTGCCACACGGTCACTATGTGGCCCAAAAAATTAATAAAAACCCATATATTTTTTCAAAACCAATTAACTTAGATCTAAATCATTAAGTTAAGAAATTAGATTAAATAGCGACTCAGTACTATAGTCTAGTAATATTCTTTTTTACCAGTACTATAGTCTAGTTGTTCGTGGCAGGAATTTCCGTCGGGGATGTTTCCTGGCCGACGAGCACACAGCTCCCCTGGAGGTTGGCGCCGGTTGAGGGCTGCTGTCGGGCTTCTGCTTCGCTGTGTCGGGCGTTGTCGGGCAAGTCTCGTCGGGCAAGACTCTTCGGGCAAGACTCTTCGGGCAAGGCTGAAAGAGAAGGACAGCGTTAACTTTGAGAGGTGCCTTTGTGGGGCCTTATGTGTAGGCCTTGAGGCTCACAATCAAGGTTAACATTTAGGTGCTCAGGCGTGCCACTGCCATCTTTAGCATGGCAGATGTAAAATAGCAGTCGTGCTTTAGTTGTATGTATGTATGTATGTATCCAAGAAACCGTGTTAGTTATAACAAGTGCCTTTGTGGGGCCTTAGGTGTAGGCCTTGAGGCTTCCCATAAATAACTAAACCAGTGCTCGAACGCATCATATTCATTCTCGTGATTGTAGAAGTTTTCTAACTATTATACTTCTGATTACCCGAATCCAAGAAATAGGATGAACCCAAATAGGTGCCTTTGTGGGGCCTTAGGTGTAGGCCTTGAGGCTTCCCATCAGAGTTCATTCTTATAATTAGACTCTTTAGGTCGCTGAACGGAATGAATCCAAATGGATGCCTTTGTGGGGCCTTAGGTGTAGGTCTTGAGGCTTTCCATTAGAATCCATCCATGCTCAAGCGTTCTATGATAATCATGGCATAATAGAAAGAAAACTAGAAGGTAGGTTGATTACTTGCGCCCCAAGTAACTTCAGACTTCTCGTTTATCAAGGACTGTCGTGGATGGGTTAAGTCCACATAAGGTTCTTTTTTATGCCTTGAGGCCAAGGACTTTTAACTGATCAGATTTACATGCCCGAGGGCTTAGGACTTGGATCTGGTTTGAACACTGACGATATATTCAAATCGGATTCAAGTACTGAAAAAGCCTCTTAATAATCATGTTGCTAGAAATAACTTGCATATAACTGGAAGTATACAACATATTGAAAAGACAAAACTAAAGCAAAGAAGGTTGGGCAAGGTTAAACCTTATCGGGTAAGGTTGCTCGTCTTGCAGGTCCTTATCTTTGTAGTTTTGTCAAAGGTCTGAAAGCTTAGAGGGGTAGAAAGAGAGAGATTACAAAAGATGAATCGATACTACAGCAAGGTTGAACAAGGTAGCAGAGCTATTACAAAAGGTTGAAGAGAGGGTTATCCTGAAAGGGATGGAGATTTATCCCGAAAGGGATGAAGGCTGACTACAGCTTTGTTTTGAAGGCAAATCTGGTTTTGAGCAGAGTTTGTGCTTGCATTTGTTTGTTTGATTGAGTGTCCTTAATCCTTGATTTTCTTTCTTCTTATATAGACAACTCGGCTTGGCCTTTGGTAGCAGCAGCTTTGGCCGAATGCGGTTTGAGGGTGATGACTCATCAGCTATTTTACATGTAATGCCACCATAAAGTACTTTATGGGCTGTGTAACTGACCAGCCTACACCACTTGGCCTTTGGGTAGGTAAGCAAGTGGTCTTCATGAGCTGCATCAAGTCAGAAAAGGCCTTCTCCTGCCTTCTGGGCTTCGACTGGGCTTCGGCTATCTTCCCTTTCGGGCCTCCTTTTGGGCCAACTCCTTTCTTGAGCCCAAAGTTCAAGTTTTGATCTAAACAGTGCCCCCTTCAATTAATGTTAAGGTTGGAATCCCAAGCGCCAACATTAATTGAATACCCGCATGCGTGTATCTCAATCTTTTGGAACTTCGTGTTCCTTCGACAGGATGAAGGCAACCCCGTGTCCCTTGAGCTTCTCACGACCTCTGAACTACCCTCTGGTTTTCTATAAATTCTGGCTTGGAAACTCTTCTATCAAGCCATCAAATCATCTTCATTCTTTTCTTCCATCTTCCTCGAGTATTTTGAGAAATGGGTTCTTTAAGCTTTGAGTGGGGTTTCCTAAAACTTCCTTTCCGTGAGAAAAAAGGCTTTCATCAAAGAACTGCTATCTCCAACACCCTTGGTCGAACGCCCCGCTATCTCCAACACCCTTGGTCAGGCGGTTTCCTCTTGACGGTTTGTCTCCCTGCTTGCTGCGGTGATAAATCGGGCTTGACCATTACATATGTTGATGGTCCTGTCTGAGGAACCTCTACCAGGCTCATATTGGCCTCACAACCCGATCACCTGATTGGGTTCCATCCATGAAGTCATTGGAAGACCAACTGAATATACCATTGCATCCAGGAAGAGAATTGATTGTAATACGTTGGCCTTGAATCTTTTGTAAATTTCATCAATTTGTCGAAATGAAATATACATTATCTCAGCAACTCTTGTCTTTCCATCTTGAATGTTTGATAAATACGCATTGCATAATGATATCCCGAAGCTCGCTTTACTTCGCATCCTCTTCGATATAACAATCTCTGACATCCCACAACGTAAGACAATACTTCTTTAAGAATTTAACGTTAATGGGATGTTTATGCTTGTTTCCTTCAAGGTCCGCCAGGTAGTATCCCCCTCTATCTAGAACACGACCAATAATGAAAGGACCTTCCCATGTCGGGCTCCATTTTCCAAAACCCCTGAGCTGAGCTCCTAGAGGGAGGATTGTCTTCCATACTAAATCCCCTTCCTTGAAAGATTTCATCTTCACCTTCTTGTTGTAAGCTCGGGCAACAGCTCGTTTCCCTTCTTGAATCTGGTTCAAAGCTTCAATTCGGGCGGTATCCAAGTCTTCAATTCCTTGACACATGGCTTCGACATACTCTTCGCTATGCAATCTAAATTGATTTTGAATTCTTAAAGAACTCACATTGATTTCCACGGGGAGCACTGCATCCTACCCGAAAGTTAAAGCATAAGGAGCTGTCCCTGTTCCTGCTCTCTTAGAAGTTCTGTATGCCCACAAAGTGTTCCCCAGATTCTCATGCCATCTTTCTGGACTATCCATCACCATCCTTTTGATAATGTTGACCAGGATCTTGTTGCTAGCTTCTGCCTGACCATTTGATTGAGGATAGTACGGACTGGACTGGATCATCTTTATTTTGTACTTGCCTGCAAATTCCTCAACTTCTTTTGAAATAAAAGATGGCCCACGATCCGTTACTATGGTCTCGGGCACTCCATATCTGTGCAGGATTTTGGTCTCGATAAAATTCTTGATTGTGGCTGAATTTATGGATTTTACTGCTGATGCTTCCACCCACTTGGTAAAGTAATCCGTTGCCACAATTATGAAGGTATGCCCTTTGCTAGAAGCTGGATAGATTTGCCCGATGAAGTCCATTGCCCATCCTCTGAAGGGCTAAGGCTTGACCACTGGATTTAAAAGTACTGAGGGCACATGCTGGAGAGGTCCGTGCCTCTAACATTCTTCACATCCTCGGGCATAAGACTTACAATCTTTTTCCATGTCGGGCCAGAAATAACCATACCTCCTAAGCAACCATCTCATCTTTGTTCCAGCCTGATGTGCTCCACAAACTCCTTCATGTACTTTGGCCATTACCCTCATGGATTCTTCTTGGCCCAAGCATTTCAATAGTAACCCGTCTGGAGTTTTCCTTAGCAAGTTCTTTGCCCATAAGACATACTTAGTTGCTTGCTGTCTATCCTTCTTGCTGGTAGGCGAGGAAGGATCATTCAAATGGTGAATAATAGGTGACCTCCAATCTTCTATCTCGGCCTCTAGCACCATTATATCTAGACTGAATCCCCTTTCTAAGATGGAAGGGAGGCTTCTTTGGATTTCAACATCTACCCCAGGTTTCCTTTCCTGTATTGGCACTCCTGCGGCTAGTTGTGCCATCTCGTTGGCCGCTAAATTGGATTCCCTGGGAACATGATTGACCGATATCTCAGAATCCCAGAAATTCAATAATTGCGTAGCTGCCAAGTAATACCCCGCCATGGTAATATGTCTGCACTTGAACTCCCCATTTAACTGGTTTATTACCAACTCTGAATCTCCAAAGACCTCTACCTCTTCTGCCCCTAGATCCATCAAGATTTCCAGACCAATAATTAAGGCCTCATACTCTGCCCGATTATTAGTATTCCCCTGGTAATCCAAGAGAAATGAATAATAATGATAAACTCCCTGAGGGTTTACAATTACAATTCCTGCTCCTGAAGCCTTTTGAGTGTGGGATCCATCGAAATACAACTTCCAATGAGTGATCCAGAGACCAGCCACTCTTCTTATCTCTTGCTGGACCCAGTCTTCTTTGCCCGAAATATCTTTTCTCGGCGGGATCCAAATGCTAGTAACTTTTAAGCTTCCAGGGATATTGATCACCTCACTTGAAGATTCTTGATGCTCGGTCAGGAAGTCGGCAATTGCTTGACCTTTGACTGCCCTTTGGGGTACGTATTGAAAACTGAATTCTGATAAAGCTAGAATCCATTTCCCAATCCTTCCTGTGAGCATTGGCTTTGACAACATGTACTTTATCACATCTGTCTTGGCGATGATGTGCACGTGACAAGGTAACATGTAATGCCTTAATTTACTGGCAGTGAAATATAAAGCCAAGCATAATCTCTCTATCGGGGAATACCTTGTTTCTACCTCGGTCAGAATTCTACTGAGGTAGTACACTGCCTGCTCCTTCCCGCCCTCATTATTTTGGGCTAGCAAGCTTCCGATTGATTTTTCAGAGGCAAAGATATACAGCTTCAAGGGTTTTCCCCTTTGTGGTGGCACCAACACTGGTGGAGAAGTTAAATAGGCCTTGATGCTGTCAAAGGCTTGTTGGTGCGGTGGCTCACATTCAAACTTTTCTTTATCTTTCAACCTTAGTAAAGGAGTCAGCGGCTGGATCTTGCCTGCTAAATTAGCAATGAATCTCCTTAAAAAGTTGATTTTGCCCAGTAACCTCTGGAGTTGCACCTTGTTGGTAGGTGAAGGTGACTTCATTATTGCCCAAGATTTGTTCTTATCCACTTCTACACCTCTTTGATGCACCAGGAATCCCAAGAAGTTGCCTGCTCTTACTCCAAATGCACACTTCTTTGGATTCATCTTCAATTTGTGGATCCTCATCCTTGCTAATGTCTGTCTGAGATCTTCCATATGTTGTTCTTCTGTTTTGGACTTGACCACTATGTCATCAATGTATACCTCCATGCTCTGGCCAATTAGATCATGAAAGATGGCATTCACTGCCCTCTGGTAAGTTGCACCAGCGTTCTTGAGCCCGAATGGCATGACCAGATATTCATATGCCCCCACATGACCGGGACACCTAAAAGCTGTTTTATGTATATCTTCTGAAGCCATCTTTATCTGATTGTAATCGGATTCCCATCCATAAAAGATAGGACTTTATGTTTTGCCACTGCATCTATGGATAAGTCGGCCATGGGCATGGGATACTCATCCTTTGGTGTAGCGCCATTAATATTTCTGTAATCCACACAACATCGTACCGCTTTTGTTACAGCTTTTAAAACGGGTACGATGTTGGCCAACCACTCCACATATTTGGCTGGTCTGATAAAGCCAACTTTCACTAGCCTTTCAATCTCTTCTTTGACCTTTTCTTCTATCTCCTTTGACATCCTCCGTGGTGCTTGCTTGACAGGCTTATATCCTTCCTTGATGGGCATTTTATGTTCCACCAAGGTTGGATCTAACCCTGGCATCTCGGTATAATGCCAAGCAAAGCAATCTTTGAATTCTTGCAAAAGACAAACAATCCTTGCCCGATCATCAACCCCCAATAAACCACTGATCTGTATTGGCCTTGGGTCATCCTCTGTTCCTAAATTAATGACTTCCAGAGGATCCTGGACTTCTGGTGGTGGCTTATCTGGTTCTGTACACAAAAATTCGACCAGCTCCGGGCTCTCGGGCAAGTCGTCTGGCCCATCCAGATCATATATGCACTCGGCCATTTGAATGGCCCCATCCAGTTCTTCACTGCAAGATTCCTCCTTGCTTTCATGCTGGCTGGTTGAAGTTTCCTCCTACCATTCACGCTCTTCTCTGTCCAAGAGCTCCTTTTCTTGTCTTCTTCCCTTCCCGTATATCAGCAGTCTTTTAATCAGGGATCTAACTGCCATTACCTGATCTCTCTTCTTTTGTCCACTCATTGATGGTGTAGGGGATTTGGGAGGATACAAGGTCTATCACACTCTTCTCTAGTAAGGAGCATTCCTTGTTCTAAAAGCTTTTGGGCCGTCATCTTGGTAGGGTGGTCGTTCTCGTCAGCTCCTGAACACTTCAAGATTCCTACATTGGGGTTGTAGAAACTTGCTTCTGCAATATTGGTTGTGGGGAGAAATGGCCGTGATTCGGCCTCTACCATATCCCAAAAGCCTGGTCCTTCTACGCCCGCCTCATGATAGACAGCCACTTGTTGATGAAGAGTAGAGGGTATAGCCAAACCTTGGTGGATCCAATCTCTTCCGAGTAAGGCCCCATAAGTGGAGGTGCAGTCCACCACAAAGAACGCCAGCATTATCTTTTTAGATCCCAGATCCACCTCTAGAGGTAATATTCCATGAGTCTTAGTGATAGCGCCTGAGAAGCTAAAGACTGTGAGGTCTGTGGGAATAAGATCCTCCGTACCTCTTCCCACCCATTTTCTTCATCTGCTTGGCCGGTAACACATTAACAGCTGCTCCTCCATCAATTAGAATTCTTTTGAAGGGCACACCTTCCAAGTGGGCTGTAACATATATAGGTTTCAGATGATTGGCCAACGAGCTGTTCGGGCGGCTAAACACCATCTCGTCCGTGTAATCCTTAGAGGACCACATTTGGATGCTTCTGAGGATTCAGCCTTGCCTGAGCTTTCTTCTTCAACTACCTCTATATTGACATGTGCCATCATTGGCTCAGTTGTCAAGTAATCACCCTCCATAGTAGCGGGTTGATCAGGTCTGGCACCAAACGTGGCGAACAACACATATGTCATGTTGATATGGAAATTATTAGGCTCGGGCGAACCTTCTTTATTGTCCCCAATCTGGTCCATAAATTCATCCAACCAGGCCATCGCATCAGCTGGAAGTAATGGTTCTGGTGCCCCCTCCTGTTGCTGTTGATTCATGCCCGCATACAGTGTTTGTTTTGGGACTTCACCAAAAGGATCCACCAATGGCAGAGAAGGTGGTCTCCTTTCAGATGAAATATTTTCAGCATGGTTAGGACCTGGCTTCCACCCAGGAGTTGGCATCATGATTAGATCTTCTTGAGCTCTCCTCAAGATCCTGTACTTCCCGGGGTGTTGGCTCTGCGGCACGTGATTCCCCTCGCCTTCCGTCTTGCTGTCGGCTTTTTCCACCTCTTTCTTACTTCTTCAACGGAGCTGACCACTTCCTCCAGATGCTGTTTTCTCCAACTTTTGATTTTTGGAGGCTTCAGATGTTGTGGGGGTCTTTAAGGAATTCATGTAGGCTTTGTGCTGCCTTTGAACCCTCCTGATCATAGAGGCTCCCATTGGTTTAGCAGGCTGTCCGTTCTTCCCAACTACATACTATTTTCGCCCGAGGTGGGCAGGATTTCCTTTTCTACTAGGATTGATCATGCTATCAATCTTCTTGATTTCCCTCCCCATCTGGCCACATTGAGGATGATCTGCACTCCGTCGTATTTTGGCTTTCATGTCTTCCGCTTCATCAGAAACCTCATGGTTTCGAAATACTTCTAACAAAGCTTTGGGTTGGGAATCACCTCCTAGTCGTTGAAAGACGCTTCGGGAAGTCTCTTTTTTCGTTGCCTGCTTAATCTTTTCGCAGGCTTCTCTTCTGACGTCTTCTTCCTTTCTCCTGATTAATTCACGGTCAATAAGTACTCCAGCCGGGGGATTTTCAAGCTCACACTCACACTGGCACTTACTGCACATAACCATCCCCTTGATTATGGCTGCTTTTGGATATTCGGGTGTTTTAATCACCCCTCCTGTAGGTTTTTCAGCCAATCTCTTCTCTTCTGGTTCCTTTGTAATTCTTTCTTTTCCTTTCTCAGCCCATGTCATATTGATCATATTTACAGGGACTTCTGAAAGGGGAACTGCAGGTTTGTCTACCACCAGCTTTTCAGGCGGGCTGGTTTTAAGTCTCTTTCCCTCGGGAGGAACCAGGTCTGTTTCTTCTCTGAAGCCTGTGGAAGCTTTCTCCAACCTTTGCAACATTTGTAGTAACGTAGTTTGTAAACCTTCTGGCATCTTGAAATATATCTTCTGATCAAGGGATCCCACCGGGCGTGCCAAAACTATGTTCGTGGTAGGAATTTCCGTCGGGGATGTTTCCTGGCCGACGAGCACACAGCTCCCCTGGAGGTTGGCGCCGATTGAGGGCTGCTGTCGGGCTTCTGCTTCGCTGTCGGGCGTTGTCGGGCAAGTCTCGTCGGGCAAGTCTCTTCGGGCAAGACTCTTCGGGCAAGGTTGAAAGAGAAGGACAGCGTTAACTTTGAGAGGTGCCTTTGTGGGGCCTTAGGTGTAGGCCTTGAGGCTCACAATCAAGGTTAACATTTAGGTGCTCAGGCGTGCCACTGCCATCTTTAGCATGGCAGATGTAAAATAGCAGTCGTGCTTTAGTTGTATGTATGTATGTATCCAAGAAACCGTGTTAGTTATAACAAGTGCCTTTGTGGGGCCTTAGGTGTAGGCCTTGAGGCTTCCCATAAATAACTAAACCAGTGCTCGAACATCATATTCATTCTCGTGATTGTAGGAGTTTTCTAACTATTATACTTCTGATTACCCGAATCCAAGAAATAGGATGAACCCAAATAGGTGCCTTTGTGGGGCCTTAGGTGTAGGCCTTGAGGCTTCCCATCAGAGTTCATTCTTATAATTAGACTCTTTAGGTCGCTGAACGGAATGAATCCAAATGGATGCCTTTGTGGGGCCTTAGGTGTAGGCCTTGAGGCTTTCCATTAGAATCCATCCATGCTCAAGCGTTCTATGATAATCATGGCATAATAGAAAGAAAACTAGAAGGTAGGTTGATTACTTGCGCCCAAGTAACTTCGGACTTCTCGTTTATCAAGGACTGTCGTGGATGGGTTAAGTCCACATAAGGTTCTTTTTTTATGCCTTGAGGCCAAGGACTTTTAACTGATCAGATTTACATGCCCGAGGGCTTAGGACTTGGATCTGGTTTGAACACTGACGATATATTCAAATCGGATTCAAGTACTGAAAAAGCCTCTTAATAATCATGTTGCTAGAAATAACTTGCATATAACTGGAAGTATACAACATATTGAAAAGACAAAACTAAAGCAAAGAAGGTTGGGCAAGGTTAAACCTTATCGGGTAAGGTTGCTCGTCTTGCAGGTCCCTATCTTTGTAGTTTTGTCAAAGGTCTGAAAGCTTAGAGGGGTAGAGAGAGAGAGATTACAAAAGATGAATCGATACTACAGCAAGGTTGAACAAGGTAGCAGAGCTATTACAAAAGGTTGAAGAGAGGGTTATCCCGAAAGGGATGGAGGTTTAGCCCGAAAGGGATGAAGGCTGACTACAGCTTTGTTTTGAAGGCAAATCTGGTTTTGAGCAGAGTTTGTGCTTGCATTTGTTTGTTTGATTGAGTGTCCTTAATCCTTGATTTTCTTTCTTCTTATATAGACAACTCGGCTTGGCCTTTGGTAGCAGCAGCTTTGGCCGAATGCGGTTTGAGGGTGATGACTCATCAGCTATTTTACATGTAATGCCACCATAAAGTACTTTATGGGCTGTGTAGCTGACCAGCCTACACCACTTGGCCTTTGGGTAGGTAAGCAAGTGGTCTTCATGAGCTGCATCAAGTCAGAAAAGGCCTTCTCCTGCCTTCTGGGCTTCGACTGGGCTTCGGCTATCTTCCCTTTCAGGCCTCCTTTTGGGCCAACTCCTTTCTTGAGCCCAAAGTTCAAGTTTTGATCCAAACACTAGTAATATTCTTTTTTACTTGTAAGTAAGAAATCTTAAGTTCAAATCTCAAGAATGACGAGTTTGTAACCAATTTAATTTCCACACTTTACTATAAATATATCATTGGATAAAAAAAAATAGATTACAAAGGAAAAAAAAGGAAAAGAAGAAAACAAATGGATGGATTTTTTTTCTTGAACTTATAGTTGGTATGGATGGGTGGCACGGGACTTCGCAGGTATTTTCAAGGGGGCAGGTGGCCTGGGGAATTTCTCTTGCGAGTCTAGTCTAATGGTGGAGGCGTTAGCGATACGGGTGGCTTTGTGGGCTTGTGTGGAGAGGTTTTGATGTGGTTCAGGTGGAAATGGATTATAAATGTCTCGTGGATATGATCAATGAGATTTCTCAACCTAATGTTGTTATTGGAAGCCTTCTCCTTGATATTCAGTGTGTGCAAAAGCAATTGAGGTCAGTAGAGTTTTTTTTTTCTTCCTGTGTATGTAACAGGGCAACGTATATGGTGGCTTCTTTTGTCTCGCAATTGGGTGGGTAACGTATATGGTGGCTTCTTTTGTCTCGCAATTGGGTGGTTTATATACATGGGATTGTTTTGAGTCAGAGTGGTTGTTTAATACTTTGGATTATGATGTAAACGTATCTATTCGAACTTAATATATTTCTCTTTTGACAAAAATAGCTAAGCGACGAAATAAAATAAAATTTAAGAGGCGCCACTTAGTACTATGGTCTAATGGTATTCCTCCCCACTTGTAAGTGAGAGGTCTTAGGTTCGATTCTCGCAAAATGCGAATTTAAACTACATTATATGGTTGTCATTGTGACTATGAGGCTTAATTCACTCTCCCACCCCCTTAGTGTAAATTATATCGTTTGTTAAAAATAAAAATAATAAAATAAAAAGTGTAAGGGGCAAATCGTCATCGAATTGAAGTACAAATGCAAAAAGGAAATCGAGTAAATATGCCCAGATGGCGCAGCTGCTTTGCTTCATCAAATTTTCATTTTGAAATATTGCTCCAACAGTTATGGCTATGTATCTGGATTGCACACTAAAACTCTTAAATAATTTTAGCTGTTTTTTTTAACAGATGGATTGCACATTATCATTGAGTTCTTTTATTATGGGAATTGTTATTAGCATTCCAAAAATCTCATTCTACACTTCAAACTTTCTATATTATGAAAGAAAAATACACTTGCGAGAAGTGTATAATGAGATTTTTAGAGTGCCAATAATATTTCCCTTTATTATTTCATATTTTTTTTATTATTGATCCAACAGCCTGGGCCTCAGAACAACGAAGTACCAGCAAAAGCAATCAAATTAGGGTATCTTTAAAGATTGCACATTATCACTGTTTTGATTATGCTATTAACATTTCTCCAAATTCTGCAACAGTTTACAAGTGCATTAGCAAAGTTGTTTCACAGATGCGGATGGCTATGTTATAATGTATAGTGCATACTAGGACCACAGTGAAAGCCAACCTTCCAGGAATGAAATGTCATACTTACAGTAATTCAGTAAATAGATCCAACCGAAAGACCAACAGATTTGGTATGAAATGTTGTGTCAAACAAACTTTAGAATTTCTGTAAAAGATTTAGACAACCAGTTAGGTGTAAATTTATGCAATAGTGGGAAAGAGTTATGTGTGTTAGGACCAACTTTTATCTGTACTAAAAATGTGTTGACCAATCAGAGAACAATTGTCAATTGTTATACCTATATTGTTTTTAATGAAGAAAATAAGCATCTCAAACAAGATGACTTTCAAACTGACCATTATGTTTTTAATAATTTTAGCAGCAAAATTTAGTTTGTTTATGAACAGTTCAATGAAGAGTCTAATGGAAAAACAGTTAAACAAGAAATATGGAGACGCAGAATAATATCATGGAAGATAATTTAAGAAGATAACAAGATATTCTGTTTTAGACAGTAAACTTGTATTTACCCTGTTACTTTAGCGAATTGATTTGTTTTCGAGTTGTACGTTAAGTATTGGAACTGATATTATGGAATTATGTGAAATAAGCTTTTGGATTTTGTGAAATAAGCTTTTCAGTGTTTGAGTCACGTTAGATTGTTAAAGAATTTAGCAAAAAGGCTTTCCAGATACAGCTGATTTTTTACTTCCAAGGTTCGTGCATGTTTCTCCATAATTTCATCGGTTAACTTTTTTTTTAGTTACATTTCCTTTTCTGTTCTAAATTATTGGGGAGCATTTTTGCTCACCACCATAAACTATGATGTATGTTCACCATACACCTAATCAATTGACACGTGTCATTTCACTTAATTTTAGTTAATTTTTTTCAAAATTGAAAAACTAACATTTAATGTGAAAGTTAACTAGAGTTAAGTGAAATGATACGTGTCAATTGATTAGGTGTATGGTGAGCATACACCATAGTTTATGGTGGTGAGCAAAAATGCTCCCAAATTATTGTGTTTTAGAGCTGCCTTTGTTATATCAACTTTGAAATTTGAACACAATTTTCTGAAATATAATGTTTTTTTTTTGAAACTTTACATATTTCTGAGTATGCACTGTATTTGTTAAGGTATTTTTCATTCTTTTCGTGTTGGTATCTTGAAACAGACAATGTGACTATCTGAAATATTCAGTATTGCAGGGCGGCTTAGTATAGCATTTGCAAAGGTTTTTTCTCCTTCCCATCTCCATTTACATATGATGAACGCAATTAAGAAGTCTATTGTGTGGTAACATTTATACCAAATTTTCTGGAAATTTTCAACAGGCAAATTCAGTTGATCTTTATACTTAACGATGGGATGACATTATTAAGAACTGAAAAGTAACATTTCCTTGGTTGTTTTTCGTTTGTTGTTTTCTATTTCTTTCTCCTTGAAATGGTTGTTTTTCTTTTATTGTTTCTGATTATTGATAGAAATTCAATTTAAATACTTTTGGAAAGGTAGAGATAGAACTATGACTTATAGTTTCTTTAATCCCACGACAACGCGCATGCATCAGTTTCTAGTATATCTCTATTTGTATGTGTGTGTATTATGTAAAGAAAGAGACGTTGGAATTGCAAAACCGTACGCAAGACAAAAGGAGTTATTTGGGGTGCAAAACTGTAGGAAATCAAAACGGACAAAACATAAAAACCACAACAGGACAAAATCAAAACGTAAGTCAATTCAAACCGGCAAAAAAAAAAAAAAAAAAACGGTTTGATTGCACGTTTCATATTTAGGGGAGATAACTCCTTAAGCCAAAATCAATTGACTTTTAATATTGGTAACTAGCATATGGGCACACACAAAGTGTGTGTGAATTTTTTTTTTTTTTTTTTTTTTTTTTTTTGGAAATATAATGAGAGAGGAAGAGAGTGATAGAGAATGTGGGAGTGGCAAGTTTTTTATTTATTATTAAATTAGAGATATGTTAGGATTACATGTAGGTGAGGTTATGAAAAAAAAAAGCAAAATGTTATTGTGTGAAATTACATTTATGCCCCATATCTCTTATTCACGTTCTGTTTTAATTAAAAGGTTAAACTGATAATAGGATTTTGGTTGACAATAAGTGTTTTATTAATTAGTAGAGATAAAACAAAACGTTATGTATATAATATTGGTAATAAAACAAAACATAAATATATTTAAATATTTAAGTAAAAACATATTTACTCCAACATTACCCAATTCCTCAAAGGTTAACTTTGTTTAAATTGGTATTTTTCTTGGGAAAAGCGATTTTCCCAAAAGGTTGTAACTAAAGAATGTGTGATATTCGCACAAATTTTCGTGAAATACGAGTTATCCTTGGCCTTATCGATTGTTATCGACACTTCGTGAAACATTGGGTAGTTATTTATAATGTTTTAAAAGATTAAGAGAAATTTAGGACTACCGCTAAAAATTTGGTAGTTATATGGACTGAACCCAATATTTAAATATCAAAGAAAGCCCAATACTAAACATTAAAGGACTTGAAGTGGACGGTGAAATAAAGGCTTTTTAGCCAAAATGGTCCTTAAGATTTGCATAACACATTACTTTGATCCCCGAGATTAAAAATCAATAGAAATGGTCCCTGAGATTGTCCACCATCCATTATTTTGGTCATTCTGTTAAAAATTCCGTTAAGTATCCCGGATCTCTTAGCCTGAAGTTTGGGCAATTTTCAAAGCTTCGTAACTCAATCGTTTCTCAACTAAATTCGACCTATAATATATCAAAATGAAAATAGGAAAGTGTAGAACAAGATTATACCTATTTGGAAGCCCAACGGTTGCCGATGATGGCCGGAAAATAGCCTGAAAAGTGACTAGTCCGTGGGAAAACTAAAAAGGTCGCTAGAAACTAGGTGAACTTTAAACATTAATAACTTCTTCAATACTCAACTAAATTGAGTGATTCGAAACAAAAATCATACTTCTCGACGAGATGAAGAGAAAGGTACCTTTCTTGATGGCTAACTCGCCGTAGTTTGGCCAGAAAGCGGCTCGAAATGGCTAACTCGACAAGACCAAGACAACTAGTTAGCCATTTTCGAGCCGTTTTCTGGCCAAACCACGGTGATTTAGATGTCAGATAGGTACAATTCTCTTCGTTTCGTAGAGAAGTAAGATTTTTGTTTTTGAATCACTCGATTTCGTTGAGTATTGAAGAAGTTATGAACGTTTAAAGTTTACCCAGTTTCTGGCGAGTTTTCCAGTTTTCCTGCGGACCAGTCACCTTTCAGGCTATTTTCCGGTTATCTCCGGCAACCATTGGGCTTCCAAATAGGTATAATCTTGTTCTACACTTTCCTATCTTCATTTTGATGTATTATGAATCGAATTTGGTTAAGAAACGATTGAGTTACGAAGCTTTGAAAATTGTTCAAACTTCTAGCCAAGAGCTACAGGACACTTAACGGAGATTTTAACAGAATGACCAAAATAGTAGATGATGGATAATCTCAGGGACTATTTCTATTGATTTTCAATCTCAGAGACCAAAGTGATATTATGCAAATCTCATGGATCATTTTAACTAAAAAACGTGAAATAAATGAGTCCGCCAAGCTCAACCCTATAAATAGAAGGGAACCTGAAACCCCTTATTCCTCCCGCAATCGATAATCAATTAAAATTCCAAAACCTAAAGTCCCAAAATCGAGTGAGAGAGAAAGAGAGATGGCCATGGAGGCTGAAGTACCCGGAATAGGCGACGTTGGGTGTTATGCGGAGAGGCAGTGCCCGCGTTGTTGCAAGAGGAAGAGGAAGCCGCAACCTAGTTTAGTTACTCCAGGAGCGTTGCAAGTTTTACCTCAAGGTGATTGATTGGGCCCCAATGTCTCTCTCTCTCTCTCTCATTTTATTTATTTAAAATTATTGTAATTTTTTTGTTCTTTGAGTCAATATTCTACAAGATTTGAAAAGAATTTCAGCTAACACCGGTTCTGAAACTGTCACAACAGAAGAAGAAAAGGAACGGGCTTTTGCAAGGAGGTTCATTACGTTCTGTTTGTCCAAGGTATCTAAGGAAACTGCACAATATATGGATTCTGTCAATGCATGTGACCCTTCTAAAGTTGCTGCTCAAGTGGAGTCCGTGCTGTTTGAAAACTGGGGTTTCAATGATCAGTCGCTGGAATCGACTAGAAAGTATTCTACTCTATTTTCTTTCCTCCATACTCCTGGGATAAAAGATTTCCGCAGACAGGTTCTTCTCGGCCAGATCTCCCCAGAACAGTTGGTGCACATGTCTAAAGATGAACTGCATCGGAAGTACTCGCTGGACGACCTTTGCGAGAATTGCTGCCAATTTACTAAGGAGCCGCTGGGGACTAAGCTTCTCATGCAGAAGGAGCACCTTCCACTTGGGTTGGAACCTCGTGGTACTTCAGTATCGGAAGTTTTACCCCAAGGTGTCTCTCTCTCTCATTTTATTTATTTATTTATTTGAATGTTAGATACGTTTTCTATTTTCGTATCTACAACAGCTCCGTCTACAGCAACAACAATAATAATGAAAAGTAGTATTTTGTTTTTTAAATTATAAAGTTATCAACGAATTATCTAAATTAATAATTAAATTTGAATATCTTTTATTGTGTGAGCTTGTTCATAATTTACATGCTAAAATATATACCTTTATTAATCACTAAGACTAAGTTCCATGTTGTTTGCAGTTGAATTATAATATGGTATTTCTTTTTTGCAACTTAGTTCATGTTTATAGTAATTTTTTTCTTCTTTGAGTCAATGTTCTACCGTGAATCCTCGGTTACCAGGTGACCAAGAGAAAGAGACACTCATATTTTGAAACACGTTGTAGTCAGTCACGCATAACAAGTTGCTAATAGCAAGGGAGTACTTGCTAGAGCTTTTTATTAGACGGGTTGGAAATTAGAAGGATGATCACAAACGCTAGATTGTCTGCTATTTACTAGAGCTTTTTTATTTGCTATGTCAAAGTTTAATATGCTGTGCAACTTATTTCTCTGTTGTTGAATCCTTCTGAAAATAAAATCAAATTAAGATTTGAAGAATTTCAGCTAACACTGGTTCTGAAACTCTCACGACAGAAGAAGAAAAGGAACGGTCTTTTGCAAGGAGGTTCATTACGTTCTGTTTGTCCAAGGTATCTAAGGAAACTGATGAAAAATATATGGATTCTGTCAATGCATGTGACCCTTCTAAAGTTGCTGCTCAACTGGAGGCCGTGCTGTTTGAAAAATGGGGTTTCAATGATCAGACGCTGCTATCGACCAAAAAATATTCAGCTGTGTTTTCTTGCCTCCATAATTCTGCGATCAAAGACTTCCGTAGGCAAGTTCTTCTGGGAGAGATCTCCCCAAAACAGTTGGTCAGCATGTCTCCAGATGAGGTTTATGAGATGTGCAAGCCGCGTAGTGATGATACTCAGAGATGCATTACTCGTTTCCATTGATTTCAAGCTCTGGCCATTTTGTAGTTGGATCGGTTGACAAGCGAACGAAAAAGAGTCTGTTTTTCTTTCATGGTTGCTGCTCGCACTTTTGTTGCCAAATGTTTTGTGTTAGAGTATTTATGGTCATCTCTAGAATATTTCTCTATTAGTCTATTATGCTCAAGTGTTCTTCCACTCTGTGTAAAAGGATTTTATATATGTGTGAAATTTGGTAAATGGGACTTGTTTTAGTTAGATTGAGATTTTGCCACCGATTTCAAAACTAGTCTCAGTTTTTTGAATTTTACAGAAGGCATCGATTCTTGTCTTGCTCTCCTGATCTTGCGGACTTTCTTGTCTTACAAGTAACATAAAGCTTATAAGTATTTGATCTCCAAATCGTATTGGGGTTCTACTTTTGTTAACGTAGGGTCCTTTTAGACCCATTAAAATAATATATAGTTGTCTTTGGGCCTAGTATATGGGCCTAAATAGAGAGCCTAGTAAAGGATGAGAAAATCAAGACATTGTGCCAACAAGTCAGCCCCAGGAATTCATATGACAGAGCACTATAAGAACGAAAAAGACGATCTCTCACAGTACTGGATAGTCTACCGACAAGAAAAAAGCAGATGCATAAGTTATAGTACTTTTTGACCACTCAAGACAATTGGTAAGCCTGGCAAATTTTTGGCATGAGCTCCAAGGAGAGGACTACCCAGACGTCAACTCCGGGCCACGTGTTGGCCATCGACAGAAACAAAAGTCTTTGAAGGGATGTAAACGTTGTCAGGCATAGCGCTCCGCTTTCAAACCACTCTTGGACGAGTGTTGTGCTCGATGGTGTCAATCTAGGAAACCATGCAATAGACTTGTGTAAATGTCACTCATATGCCATGTGTTGAATGGGCAGTGGGAGAAGTAGCTTATAGGTCGTGACTACATGTTTGGTCAATTTAATGGTGGGGCGGTGATAGAATTAAGAGCCCAAGACTTTTAAAGCTTATTGAAGGGTTATAAAAGGTGCCGAGTACCTTTCATAAGCGATCAAATCCTTATGAGTAAAACTACATTATCTTGTTTAGAGAGCTATTGTAATCCACATGAAATATATATGAGACCACTACAGTGGACGTAGCCCATATTTAAGGGTGAACCACTTAAATTACACTACATTTTTTGCAACGCTGGACTCTTTTTTATTTATTTATTATTTATTTATAATTTAATCTTATTATTATTTCCCTTATCCAAACATGATGTAATGAAACCTCGGTTCCTAAGCTTTAGGTATCGCCACATTGTGGTCGCACTATTAAGGAATTGGTATCTGAATGTAACAAGAACACCAAATTCGGTGAACTTGTTGACCCAAACAACCTCTCGATTAGCATCTGACGCAGAATCGTGTCACATCCATTCTCATCTCATGTTTGTTGATTCATGTTTAACTGTGCAAACAAAAAAGTCTCTGAACTCACCGGTTCTAACCCCGCCAGAGCAGGTTGAGGCGACGGCTGCTTGATGCATGGCACCCGTCCATAAGGATACGACGGTTAGTTTTCCCTTTTCCAAACAATTTACAACTGCAAATGCCCAACAAGCAGTGAGGGATGATGGCCGGAGTCAGCCCGAAAGCACTAAAAATCGGCTGTTTTCGAACCCAATCGGATCAGTGTATCATAATTGCCAGGAACAGAGAGAAAACTGCTATACATGGAAACTACTACTCAAATATACAGCAAAATCCACACATAAAATCTCCAAATGTCCCTAAATTCAAACCACCCCAACCCTCAGCCATCTCCTCAGTACAACAGAGTACCCAAAACCAAAAATGAAAAAACGGGTACCATAAATTCCAGCTCACCACCACGACTGCCTGCATCACCAACACATTGTTTTACGGTGTTAGACATTTCCCCTGCGTGAGAAGACAGTACTAAAGACAGGGCAAAGAAGAAATGCAAATTCCAGAATTGCCAACTGGTAGACGTTAAGCTCTCGTGTGAAATTTGAATGCTAGTATGTTAAACACCTACCGCTGAATACATTTTTCACAACACAAATGGTTTCTTACGAAAATTGAATCGATTTTCCTGTTTTGGCTAACATTTTTTTCAAAGGAATAACACCCCGGTTTTATGATTAGCTCAGTGTGCCAACTTCACTAGACACGGCAGCTTTCAATTTTTTATTTTATCTCGCAATGTCATTATGTTTGTCCTTTTCGCTTTGACTTTGTTTAGCACATTAAAACAAAAGAAACGAAGGAAATTCACATATGCACAGAAATTGGATAATGCAGAGACACATACCAGGATTTTTAAAAGTCTCCGATGTTGGTAGTGCAGGCAATGACATCTCTGCAAACAAAGTAGTAGCCATGAGATCATGGACTTCAATAAAAAAGGAAAACATGCAAATCAAAGTAGTAGATATTATGAGGGAAAAGGGCAACAAAAGTTATTCTTTGATCGATCAGTTACCAGGCGCACAAAAGGACAACGATGAAACTGAGGAAGATGAAGGCCATGGTGCTGCAATGTTGTCACTCAAATCACATGTAAAGCTGAAACCTGTTGAATTGTCAAATATCCCATCTGCAGGCAAATTTCGAAGTAAACAACCTGCATTTGAGCAAAAATGAAAATTATCAATCTTACGAGAATAATGCTTAGGGAATTACTTGATCTCCGCCAAGTACATACGAGGGAACATGAATTCGACATCACACTCTACAACACCTAGGAAATGTACATTGTGGATACCATGGCTTAAAAACCCTGCATATGCTAATTTGACATCAACTTCAGTTACACTATTAGCATTGCAACTAACATTTTTAAAAAGCACCCACAACACTGTGCAAAGAATATTCCCACTGCTAAAGCATAAAATTGGATATCAAACTTTCAGAATGAAAATAATCAATCAATAAAGAAACAGGACAAAGATTGAAAATGTCATACCTTGTTGCATGTATTCAGCTGCAGTGCCCACAGGGATCCAGGGATAAAAAAGTAAAATATCAGATATAATGAAAGAAAAGAGGAAGAAAATTAAACGAATGGTGTGGCAGGACAAGCACCTTGAACGCTAAAGTCTTTCAAGTCAATATCACAAAGCTCATAAACATTTTCCAACACCCCGCCTTTTCTCAACATGGACCCAAACACTGAAGCACAGATTATGGCTTGTCTATTTGTAATTAACATTTGCTTTTGTATTCCCAACATGTAAGTGTTTAATGAGCTACAACAGGAAGGACTTGGGGCAGCAACATTGCGACATGCTTTAACTACTTCTGAAGGCTGCTTAAATTCCAGAGGGCAGACTGCACAAGTGAAAATCATTTTCATGAGAAAAGATGGTATGGTACAGAACAAATCCAAATATACACAGCACATAAAGATGTAACCATCAAGCAACTAAAACCAAAGTAAAACGCAAATCGTTCACTAAAAAGTTAAGCAAGCAAAATCTCAAACTTAAAATCCACAGAGCAAATGTGGTAAACAAACGAAAAGGTTTATCATTTTTCTGCTCACAAAGCCAGTGCAAAAGTGGGCAAACATAATTTGGATGCTTCACTCATTTCATGGCTGAATTTGGTAATTAGTAAATCAATATGCCTCCTAATTCAGCGTCTGTCCTTATGTTACCCAACACAAGGTTCTGAAACCGTTTTGCACTGTTGATGATTAAAGACAACCAACTTCTAGAATTTTATGAGTGAACACTAATTACTGCAGATATACGTATTAATTAAATAGGATAAATAAATATTGGTGAAGAAGAACCAATGATTAAGTTACCCTAAAAGATAGTGAAAATAAAATTAACTTGAACACTTCCTCCTATAAAGAACCAATTAAAAATGGTAATACTAGAGATGCGAATCCTTCATGGGCCAGGAAAGGTTACACATGAGATGAACAGTATGATTCATGAAATGAAACGAAAGTAAAAAAATGCTAATCTTTCAAGTTTACTTTTTCTTATCGACTCAAACAAATTGTTTTTCATATTTCATAAATGGAGGAACCTTCTTACTGCATTCATTGTTTTTTTCTGAACTTCAGGCAAGACAAACAACTTAACAATAGATTAGATGCTCAAACCACAGTTTCTAAAGTCTAAATAAATTAGTCTTATGTATACTTTAAAACTTTGTAGGCAGATACCTTTGTTAACTTTGCAGGCAGATAATATCCGAAATGCAGTATTGGCAGCATCTGACGAGAGTTTCCTTGAAAGATATGAAAAAACCACGTCTTTACAATCACTTAGAGTATCAGTATAATTAAGCCCACCAGCTAAATTTTTGTTCTCATTCATCATCAATTGTTTTCCTGAGATCCCCAGTGCAGCATCCGTGATTGCATGCTGGCAAATTGGTCTGCAGCACTCTTTGAGAGGGTCAACAGTTGTGCAGGCCTCCAGTAATCTACTTGTATTTACTGTTTTCTCAAAGGTATTAATGTCCTTCACTGGACAGGACCCACCCGTAAGATTCGACGAATTTATGGAGCAAAGTGTAGGTACTGAACTGTTTGCACCTCTACTGGCTAAGATACTAATGATATCCTTAAAACAATCATTCGCAACTGAATTTTGCAAAACCAACTTATCAGAGTTGAAGCTATAGAGACCCTGGAAGATGCGGATCAAACTACTAAACTGCGGGCAACATATTACATTTCCTACTATTGCCGCCAAAGGTTGAAAGCAATCAGTAGCTGTCTTATCCATTAAACTTGATATAGTAGAAAAATTCACAGGACACTTCCCGGTTAAAACAGGCTCATATCTTGTCGGAAAATTCGGGTACAATGGTTGCGAAGGTTCATCTGCAGGATTTGGGTAATTAGGAATAACAGCCGGTGATATTTCAATGGGATCAAAGAACTCAGTAGTAGGTGGATTAGCTAGGCCTAGCTCTGCCACGGAAGAAGCATGACTTTGGTCAAATACTGTCTGCACTGCCATGACATCTTGGAAACTGGATAACCAGATAAAGAATAATAATAACTGGCAGCACAAAGAACCTGCAGTGATATATA